TACACATGTAAATACATGTAAATATTTTCAAAATATATACCGTATGTGTGTGACTTTATACATACATAATAAATATACACAGTACACACACATATTATATAAACAAAAACTTATTTTGGATGCGACTAATCGCAATTAATCATTGCCCAGCACTCATTTCAACCTAAATTATGGATTGCAAAAAAATATATATAATAAGAATAAATATATAATAATATTTAATAACACTATTTATTAATACATAAGAATACTGCTTAGTATTATGCATATTTAAGTATAATGCATTAAAAATAAACTTCAAAAATTAAAAATTAAATTATTTAAAAAAAAGACACAGAAGAAACAAAGCAAGTACCACATCGAGTTGAACTTAACTGAAGTAGAAAAACTGAAATCATATTTTCTTGTTAAATGCACTCCAGAAATCTGTTTTAATTTACAAGTCAAATATTAATTATATTATATTTAATAAAAATGTAAGAATAGTGCATACTACTAAGTATAATATTTAAGAATATTTAAAAGAAAATTAAAATAAAGAAACTATCAAAGCAGTAAAAAAAATAAAAAATTTTAATCAAGTATAACTTGATTTGCAAATATATAAGATTAGTAAAAAATAATTCTCATGTAAAACTTGCAATTTTTGCAACTTTGCAGTTGATCTTTGTCATTATGGCTGAATTTTACCTTCTTGCTTCTCATGTATGACAGCCTGCCCTCGTGGGCGTCAGGGTAAGTGCAGAACAGGTAGGTGGTGATGGCGTGTTTCAGGAAAGAGTCGCCCAACATCTCCAACCTCTCCAGATTGAAGCCGTCACTGGCATTGGAGAGGGTCAGGGCCTGCAAGATGAGGCCGGGGTTGGGGCCTAAGGTTTTGGGAGAATCCCAGGCTGGACCTGTGCAGGCTGATGTAGATGTCACGTCAGAGACCTCTGATGACATTTCTGAAGGTGCTGTGGTGCTGGTTGCCGGCTCTGGTTTGGGGCAACAGTTTGAGGTAGGTTTTTTCACATGTCCGTCACAGATATCTGAGTTCCTGCCTGGGATACATTCATCGCTGGGCTGGGGCTGTGGCTCGCCGGCTGGGGAGGGCCGCACAGGAACTGAGGTAGTGGTTTGTGTTGATAGGTCACTCTCCAGAGGGCCCAGCTGAGAGCATTGGCAAATGTCATGTCTATGTGGAAGGTCGTCGCTGTCACCCCGAGTGCCGTTAGGGAGGTTTCGGGAACAAACGCAGTTGCTCTTGTCTTTGTTCGGTGTCTGGAGATCAGTCGCAGGGAGCATGTGGGTTTCTAGCTTTTCATCTGGTGTGTTGCAGTTCTCACAGGGGAGAGCGCCCTCTGGAGGCTGGGAGGCCTCCGTGCTGCAGCCCTCCAGGGCAGTGTGGTCTGAATCTGAGCTTGTGCTGTGTTTACAGTGATCGTCGTCTTCCATACATGCACTGGGGCAGGAAATGAAAGACTTGCTGTCGATGGATTTCTTCCATCCGAAATCCAAATTTGGATACCTGGGGTTAATATTCAATGAGATTAGGACTCAAATAGGAGCACTTTCTTTAACGCAGAGATTGCCAGCTGCTTTCTAAGGTAGATGTTACCTTACAAATTAATTGGAACACTTTATAAAGGCAGTAACTCTCTGTGCCACACATATGACTCGAGTTACAAATGAATCCAATAGAGTTTGATGTTACTAAGCTAACTATACGACATTCTAATAAGAATAAAAGTAAACTGCACATGCCAATATTACAATTTTTAAATTAGTGGTTGATCACAACGGATTTCATTTCATTATATCCCAGATATAAAGTTGACATATGATATCACTATTTAACAGTAAAAAACAAACAAATACTGCATTAAAATTTGTACACGTTACTTTATATTTACTAAATCAGAAATAAATAATTTGAAAATGAACATGAAAAAAATGGAAATTGAAAAAAAAAATGAGCCTGTAAAATAAACAAATTAAAAATACATTTATACTGCACTCAGGTGCTGGCATTCTCAGTGCTGTTAAAATAAAAGTCCTGCATTATCAACGGTGTCAAAATAGAGGACCTTCTTTCAAATGTATCGGCCAAACAGAAAAACTCACCAGCCAATGCCAATTGAATTCAAATTTGGTAAATAACGGTCAATAAATCAGCCTTTGCGATATATTTTTTAAACACTAATTAGACATTTTTAACAATGCTTTTTATTACAGAATAAAACATTTTCAGCCACTTTTTCTCCAATGCAAAGTAAATTTTCCTATGATGATGAATTGACAAAACTATGTATAATACCTTTTAGAACAGCCTTTGTATCAAGAATGTGCCTACAATGCCTTAAAATGATGTCTATGGAGAGAGCCCACTTGGTTTTGGAAAACAGTGAATGAGTGTTATGCATATGATTTGTAGATTTTATTTATCTGACCTGAAATCAGGAGGCAGGGTCTGAGCCCCTACACCAGCGTCAATGGCTGTCTGAGACCGCAGCTCTTCGGCCGTCAGAAGGCAGTGAAGTCTGTAGAGAATGCTGGGAAGGCAGACGGCTTTCCTCCACAAAGAGGCTGGGATGGGGTGAATGGCACAGAGCTCTGGAACTAAAATCTAAGCAGACGGAAGAGAAATACAACCAAAAACTGTTATCTGATGTGAGTCAACCCTCTGTTCGTCCGTTACTGCTCTCAGTGGGAGGAAATACTTGAATAAGCGGTGTGATTAGACTTAATTCAGGTATGATGGCTTATAATTATCACCATAAATTTGTTCTGTCAGTTAATACCTGTTTGTTTTGTAGACTTTCCCACTTGGCCTTTCTCTTCTCTGCACTGCTGAGAGGAAGGGCTTTCCCCTTTTGATTAAGGTGCCGGGGAGTTAAAAGATTCAATCTACAGGAAAAGACCACCATGGACATATAATGAATTTCTTAGGGAGGAAAAAAAGAGCACATATCAGAATTCGTCTTTTTCCCCTCCCCCCCTTCCTACCTTGAAGATGTGTGGTCCACATCCAGTAGGGGCTGGTTAACATTAGACAGGTCCAGGTTGTACTTGGTTTTGTAGTACTCGGCGAAAGTCTCGTACTCTGGAGAAGGGAATTTACTGAGCGGGGTGAGGTCTGTGTAAACGTCAGCCACGTAGAACCGATGTGGCTGGTCAAAATTACGATACCTTAGAGAGAGGAATGGGACAGAAGGGTAGAGTTCAACTTCAGTGAAAACAAAAGCACAGTATACGTCATCAATGAGAGCTTAATTGCAAGGGCAATAAGACTCAGAGTTCACAAGTTACTTTTGTACCTTGGAATGATGACAGCATCCTGGTAGTCCTCCAATTTGAAAATGAATGGGTTTTGCTTGGTGTACTGAGTAGTTGGAATGCCAATGCGTGCTTCAGACTTTTCAATATCCTCCATGAACTTGAAATCCAGGTCCAACGTATTGGAATTCTCAACTAAAAAGAACAGAAGTTATACGACTAGGGTTGCAACAAGTGGTCAACTAATAAAGATTTTATAGCCAATATCTTGGAGAGCAGGGGGCCGATGGTGGAGATATCATAGAAGACATATGAGTGTGTACATGTATATACACACATACACATATATACATACATATATTATATATTAGGGATGCACCGATGTATCTGCCGATTTTTCCGCAATATACAACCATCGGCATATCGGCTATATAAGGAAAAATGCAGATATAACAAATCTATGGTTTTTATTAATTAACTGCGTGAAGGCACTGAGCTGTATAATGTGTTGCATAATCCTAGCGCTGCTGTCTGCACTTTAATGCTAATCAAATAACAAAAGACAAAAGATTGCACACTATTCTTGACTAAATAACTTTTGTAACTTTCATAAGTGTAGCGGACCTCATCTGAATGATGACCAATACTTTACTGATGTTTTATTAAGTTTATTGCGTCCTTTTTCACTCCAAAAATATCACCATAAGAGATAAGCAAAACACAGCACAAGAAGTGCACATTAAACTCTCTCTCTCAGTTGCATTATCAACAACATACAGCGAATTACACAAAACACTTATTACAACTAACAGTAAACAAATATATACAGATCTCAAGCCTTTTCGGGGGGTGCTTAATAAACGGACAAACTTTAAATCAGAAGAACTGCGTGCTTTCATTACCCATATAGCTCCGTAGACTAGAAAACCCGTCAAAAGAAGAGTCCCGCCTTAGTAAAGGAGATTTCATACTAGTGCTGGGCGGTATGACCAAAAATTTATATCACAGTATTTTTCAAAATTATACCGGTTTCACGGTACATGACGGTATTTTTTTTCATGCATGACCGGGTGTTAACCATATTTTCTACTGATTGAGAGAGGAAATACTGCAGTATATTGACTTAGAATGCCCTATTTTACTGTCATGATGAGTGAATATTGTCAAAAAATACCACACTAAATAGTGACTAAACACGACCCCTTTTAATACATGTTAACCAGGAGTCACTCTGATTTATAATCGCGGCATCGTCTGATAAAATCAACATGCATCTACACTAAAGAGCGGCTATGCGGTTGTTTTGGCTATATTACTTTTTTGTCTCATGCAGCACACTGCTTGCGTCTGAGTAACAAACAAAAAACAACAACAAACGAACTACGCTCATCTTTATAATTCCAAACAATCAGTAAGCGACAGGTGCTAGGAAACGCCGTTTTGAACTCATTTATTGATGAGTCGACTGCGGTGCGGCCAACTGAATGCACTGCTTCTCTGCCGCTCACTGCACAGAACAGACGCCAAGAGAGGTGACACTTCTGCGGGAAAGTCAGACCTCGCGTTCGCGGGACAGCACTGGCAAAATCTTTCAACTGAACCATAGCTACGGTTTATCCAAAAAAGTTGCTAGGTTTGTCAGTATGAATATTCTATGAAAAAAAGCCACTAAAAGGGTCTGAAAGTTGCTAAATCTAGTGCTAAAGTCACGCTCGTGTGTGTGAGACGCGGGAGCTGATGGCAGGGGGCGGTGGATATTTGTGGCGGTCAGTGTGGATATTGTGGATGAGTTCTTCTGTGTTATCACGTTCTATTAGTTCTACAGCTTCAGTTTCGGAACTTTCACGCTTAGTAACACATACAGCTGTTCCCTCACCACAGTGCAACAGTGAAAAGGGACCCCTTTCAAACAGTGTCGCGTTCCGAACGTTGTTTAAGCGACATACTAATAATGAAATTGTAAATACCGTATTGCGGTATTTTAAAAATTCATATCACAAAAATAAACACCGGTATTCGGTATGAACCGGTATACCGCCCAGCACTATCTCATACATATTTAAACTTACAAAAAATATTAAAATGTATACAAAAACAAATTAGAAGATTAATCATAATAAAGTCTGTTACAATAAAGGAGGATTAATATGCATTTAATTTATACAGTGAAGTGTTATTTTACATTTGTTTACTTTATTTCTGTACTTGAAAACTGCTAAACCTACCTAAAAAGCACTGTTTATTTAATATGTATCTTTGTTCTGTTGCATTCATGTAGGCCTGGTGAATGTTAAATGGATCTAATCCATGTTCATTAGAAATTATTTGATGATGCAGCAATAAAACTGCTAGAATAATTTAATGCAGGTGTTTTTGAACTTCGCTGATTGAAAACATGATCAAAATACTATCTATTTTGATGCCAGAATTTCAAACAAGAGAGGAAGTTACAAATATCGGTATAGGAATCGGCCAATAAGTGTTTCCTTGATTCAACAGGTCTGGCAGTAATCAGGCCTGCGTGTGGCTAGTGAAATTTAACTCAGCTTTCTAAAATAATGTGGTTAATTGCAGTTCTTTCATGATTTAACAGGAGGGGGCAATTCATTTTTCACGTAGGGCCACTTAGGTTTGGACAGCTTTTTTCCCTTAATAAATGAAAACATAATTTAAAAACTGCATTTTGTATTTACTTGCATTATCTTTGTGTAATATTAAAATTTACTTGATGATCTGAAACATTAAAGTGTGACAAACATGCAAAAAAATAAGAAATCAGGAAGGGGGCCAACACTTTTTCACACCATTGTATATACATCTACTCACTTTTTCTCTTGACAAGAAGTGCATTTATTCAGTCGCAGAATAACTGAGAACGGGAGATGTGTCCGACACGCACTCCACTTCACTTCAGCGCCAGGCACGAGTCAAATGAGTGCAGAAACAGTACTGTGCTCGCAGCGCCTGCTCTTCAATTGCACGCACAAAGGTGCCGGTGCGCGCTGTAGCCTGTATCTTTTCATATTAAAGCGTGAAATAAACTACGTGCATGCAATGTCATGGTCAGTTAAGTCATGAAGTTAACATTAAAGCTGCCTTAAAACTGTGCATGCATGCAATATATTTTACTAGTAACTTAGTTACTGTATTAATATTACTTTTGCAGTAACTAGTAGTGTAACTAATAACTAATAAGATTTCAGTAATACTATTACAGTTACCATCCATAAAACAACTTAGTTACTGTTACTTTTGATGCCTTAACCCTGCTGATACAGCAAAAAGTAGTTTGAAATCAAGGATTTCAAGTTTGTTGCTCATTTGTGTAAAAATGCACACTTCAGATGATCTAACAGCTGGATTCACTAATGTTTCACTAAAGTTTTTTGGAATTAAATATTTATTAGATATTTAAAGACTTGTTTAAATGACAAATGCATATTTTCAGAATCCAGACAGTATATGAGAAAGCTATAGTGTTTGCTTCTCTGTTATTAATAACAAAAAAACACTAATAATTTTACAATACTTTTTTATATATCATTTAGTTTCTTTGTTTGACAGTTTTCTCTGTAATAATTTATGACAGAACTGTTAACTAATGATGATGAAGAATGCAAGGTCCTGTGCATGTCAGTGCTGTCAAAATAAAAGTCACAGTGCTGTCAAAAAAGTCCTGCTTTTCATAATTAGTTGGGTCTGTATGCTGTGGAATGGACTGCCTAGGACTATTTTTTTTTAAAGCGAAAAAATGGATCTGGAATGCCCATGTCTGCTCAGTAAAATACAGGTCAAAAAATTTGGCATTTTGTCCAAATAATCAAATAAATATTTGACAGATTCATTGCAGATCTAGATAAGACCATATCCTAAACTGACAATCAGAGGAAGGTTTATAACTTTAATCTCACATTCAAACAAGACAACATCTCACTGTGACTGACTGCAGCAGCAGCAGCACTCACCAATGTTGAGAGGTAGAACGCAGTAGGCAGAATCTGCCTCTACCGGCTTAAACTCCAGTGCTGGCTTTTCCAGACGGAGGATGTGGGAGAAGATGTACTGGTGCAGACGTGTGATCAGCTCCAGCTGCTCCGCGCTCAGAGTGAAGCCCGACTTCTGCAGCTCAATTGAAATGGTCACCTCGCCAGAACGTGTATACACAGGGAAGTGAGGGATCTGAAAGTTCAAGGTAAGTTAATGAATTGCAGATATAATCAAATGAATAATACACTTGACTGTATTATAAATAATTATCAAAGTATTTCACAATAAATAAAGATTGATAAGTTCTTCTCCAAGGATCTGCAGATTCAGAAAGTTAAATTAAAGGTGATTACCCGAGGTATTGGTTTAGCTGTCAGAATGCCAAAACATCGAGTAGTGTCCTCCGGTGGGTACAGCTTCCTCCGCCGGAAGTTGAGCTCATCAGGAAGAGGGGTGGTGAGGACCATCCCTATGACGTAAAGGTAGCAAGGCTGCTCTGGCACAGGGTAACAACCCCGCAGACACTCTGGTATCTACAAGACAGGAAACCCAACATGATTCTATACCTTCTACACATTGTATTTAAAAAAAGAAAAGAAAATAATCCTCTATTCAGCAAGGATGAATTATAATGATCGTAAAGATGCTAAAATCATGTTTCAAAAAATTTCTATTAGAAAATTCTTTTGAACATTCTCTTCAGAGAATTTTAAAATCATTTAAAATATATGAACAAGCTGACAAAATAAAAAAAATAATACATTTCTTGACCACTAAATCAGCATATTAGAATGGTTTCTGAAGGATCATGTGACACTGAAGACTGGAGTAATGATGCTGAAATTCCAGCTTTGCAATCACATGAATAAATTACATATATTTAAAAATACAAAACAGTTATTCTAAATTGTAATATTTCACAATATTAATGTTTCACTGTATTTCTAATCAAACAAATGCAATTAGTGCATAAGAAACATTTTTCACAATCACTTACCGACCACAAACTATGTATGGTGGCACCAAAAAACCCAGAAAAACATGAATCCTGACAGACTTTTAAAAAGATATTTTGGGTTCATCACACTTACGGCTTTTGGGTAACACTGTCTCCGTTTGGTGGAGCCTGGTCTTCCTGGCACATTCGTCTCCTCTTCATCGTGCAGGTCCAACTCCTCCTCATACTTTACAGTTTCCTTTCCCACTGGCATCAAATGATCATCCAGTTCACCTAGACACGGGCATCACACATCAGTCAGCAACTCTCAGTCTCAGAACGCATCAGAAATCTCATATATTTGGACTTTTTCATGCTCACCATTTTTGTGCAGCTTTTCACAACAAAGAAGAGCGACAGCTTTCTCTGCAAGTCTTGCACAATTCATTGTTGGCCCCTAAAGGGATGAAGAAACATTTAGAAGACGTTTTACTTTCAATAAGGAATTTAAAGAAAAATGACATACATCATGTCTAGGGATGGGTATCGTTAAGGTTTTAACGGTATTACTACTCTTACCGATACTGCTTATTGATTCAGTACTTTAACGGTATTCTTGTCAATACTTTTAGTTTTATATATATATATATATGACAAATTAAGAGCTGAATTAACATTGATTTATATTCTGAAATGTAAAATAAATATTTAATTAAATGAATATAAAATGAAAAAAAGAAATCTTGTTTTTTCTCAGTAAAACACATTTTGTCTTCAATTATTTTCATATTGGATATTTTTCCTATTTAAATTTTTGTTTTAAAATGTACCAACAATCACATTTAAAAAATATACACTTTTTGATATACCATAAAAAAAAAAAACGACTCATGCAGCTGTAAGGTTTTCTTTTTCTTTTGTTTTTACTCGGGATCTTTACAACACGCATTACGTCACGTATTTCATGGCACACTCGTTTTATGCGTATTTGGCGCCACCTAGTGTTGTGGGTGTATTATTGACATATCAAAGTCTAGACCCTGAATATAAGACGACCGCATTTTTTCAGATGTATTTCCAAGAAAAAAATATCGTCTTATATTCGGGACAATACAGTATTGACATACATCGGATTTTCTCCCAACTGTTTTCCTCCATTTAAGACATAAACCGTGTTTAAGTAAATACTCTCCAAGCCAGCCATTTTGGCATTTTTGTGTGTATTTGATCGTTTGGACATGCACCCAAAGCTCAAAGTGTAATTTGTTTGTCCGTTTTGGAGCGTGCCACGCGCACACATTTCAGCCTGAGGAACAGCATCTCTTGTGTGGATTGTGCTTTCAAAGTTTTATTATCAAACATGTCCCGCAATTTAGCAAAAGTAAAGACGGCATTTTACAACAATCACTGACTAAGCAGATTCTGATGCTAAGTTTGGGTTTTAGGGAGGAACGAATGCGCACCGCTGTGAAGGGCGCAAGACGAAATGCAGTTTTTAATAGCTTTACCTCATGTCTTATTTTGTATAATCTTTAGAAGCCAAAATCGAAAAAAAACAAAATAATTAGCTTAATAAAATCACCACAGGCCTAAAGTGTAAGCAGATGTTTGAATGTTTAGTTCTCTCTTCTATCATAATTAAACAGGGCTTTCATGTTGCGCGTGCTGAAGCTCCTCAGCGTGAGTGCGATCTCTCTTCTGAATTGCGAATAGCAAAAATGCATCATAGACAAATGTTTGAAAAACAGCTGGCGACTCTGGTGAGATAGAATTTGCAAGACAATGTATATAGCAATAATAAATGTGTGTTTTCTTAATTTCTCCAGTACCGATAGCAGAACCGTTAACGTCAGCGCTTATCAATACTCCGGTCTTTCATAATTTAGCCCCGGGACCGATTAAATACCGGGTTTCAGTACCCATCCCTAATCATGTCTTTAAAAACCTGTAAGACTTTCTTCCAAGGAACACAAAAGACTAATACCAAATCATATGGACAATTTTTCTGGCGCTTTTTTCGGAGTTTGACAGCTCATGGTTTCCACCCACTTTCATTGTATGGAAAAGAGCAGTGTGAACATTCTTCAAAACATCTCCTTTTGTGTTCCATGGAAGAAAATCAGTCTAACAGGTTTGGAATAACACAACGGTGAGAAAATTCTGGCAGTCTGTGTAAACTCCTAGCAAAGAAGACAAAAATCTCAGAATATTTTTGAAAAAAGTTCAACTATATTTTGGCAAGAACTCACGGTGACAGGAACTCTGAGTGGTGAGTTAATGGGTAGGAAGAGTGTGGATTGATAACCTCCAGTCTTCAGCTCCACAGTTTTACACTTCGGAGCAAGATGAGTGAACGGATCACTGGGCAAACGCGCACAATATCTGCACAACACACAAAAGCATTTAAACGTGACATTATGTGCAACAAAATATAGCAATCTTTGAAATCTCAGAAAAGAGTACTGACCTGTTGACGTGCCCAATGGCTGTGTTAATCGTGACACGTGGGCCGCCGTCCTCTGAGCGCAGGACGTAAGGTGGTAGAACGTTGTCATCATCGGTCACCGGCTCCAGTTCAAACTCACTGCGTTCTGCTGACTTTGAGCACTTATTTCGGAGGATCTAAAAGATGTATGACACTGTTAGACCAGCTTAATGTGTTTATGTAGTATGTTTGACTAGTTTAAGTGTTTATGTAGTTAATAAAACTTTACTTGTATCACGCTTGACGTGTTCATTGTTTGCTCATAACCGGAGTCACTAATCATGCAGATTTACGTTACAAGCTTGGTAGAATTGTACAGTAAGAAAGTTATTTCCCTTAACCAGGAAATTAACGTTCTTAGAATTGACAAGACAGTTGACCCTGAGTGGTCAGCTAAATATCTACAGCGGATCTAAAATATGAATAGTTAATTATAACTAGTTATGGTTAATTATTCATATTTCCTGTCGTTGAGCTAAATTCGCTACAACACATTTTAATGTACACGCAACCTCTTTCAGGAAATCTCATTAAACCTGCTGACCTTCTCTATGGCCTTGTAGGTCTTGAGGTCTTCTTCAAATGTTTTTGTCCGTTCGCTGTCAGCTAGCATGATGTAATTGGAGACTGGAGCCCGGGCGCGACCTTTGGATTGCACGTATGACCGGTACTCTGTTGGCAGGTCAAACCGAACGACCAAATTGCACTTTGGAATATCAACGCCTTCTTCCACAATGCTGGTTGCAATGAGCAAGTTGGTTTCATGGGCTCTGAACTTCCTCAGGACCTGGACAATAATATAAATCGGCAAAAACATTTATGATTAGCACAAGCTAAAGAAGTGGCACAAGAGACTACCTAGGACTACTGGATTCTCTTACCTCCTCTTGCTTTCTGAACTCCACCTCCATTTGTTTGTTGCGAGGCTGGTTCTTGCCGATGCTGTGACCTGTGATGAAGTTGCTACTGATGTAGGCCAGCTCTGGGTCCTGCTTCCCTGCCTCCTTGATAAGCCTGATACACATAAATAACACTGCATTCAAGTACCTTAGGATAATTTATATAAGCAATCTGTTAAATATAACAAAATGTATATAGGATTCGGGCGATATTTTTTGAAAGAAATTAATATTGTTATTCAACAAGGAGACACTTAATTTATCAAAAGTGACAAAGATATTTAAAATATTCCAAAATATTTCTATTTCATATAAATGCTATTCTTTTGAACTTTCTGATCAAAAAATCTTGAAAAAATTTATCATGGTTTCCACAAAAATATTACACAGCACAACTGTTTCCAATATTGATAATAATAACAAATGTTTCTTGAGCACCAAATCAGCATATTAGAATGATTTCTGGTCACGTGTCACTAAAGACTGGACTAATGGCTACAGAAAGTTCAGCTTTGCCAACACAGGAATGAATTACATTTAAAAAATATATTAAAACACTCTTAATGGCAATCTACAATGAATTACAAAATAAATATAAATTTTTCATACTGTACATTATAATATTGTTACTCCTAAATTAATTTTAGCATTGAAAATGATTGATTGTAGTTTTAGTGCATTTATTATTTGTATTGAATTTCTAAGACAGACAGTGAAGCACTGCAAACAAACCTGTTTAAAACAACCGCTGTATACCGCCTTTCCACAAAGATGATTCCACAGAGGATGTTGGTGAAAGGCGACGGAAAATTAGCTTCGGGCTTCTCCTTTGCCTCCGCCTCTTCATCCTCATCTTCGTCCTCAGAATCACTCCAAGAAACATAATTGTCCTGATTGCGATTATTGTACCACTCCACACTCTCAAACTGCTGCCGTTCGAAAGGCTTGTACTCGTGGAGAATCTCCAGAAGTTTAATGACCTTGGGAGTGACAAACTTCAGGTCTAGGGAAGCTGGAGAGAAATGCTCCTCACATAAAGCGTGGATTTTTCTCAGAATGGTGTCTGTGAACAACAGGAACTTGCGGTTCAGCTCTTCCTGTTCATGTTTGATATATTTCTGCAGCTCCCGGACCATGATTCCAGCAGCTTTATCGGCACACCAAGGGCCCAGCACAGTTAACACGGCACGACAGTCATTCAGCACCTAGGGATAAATAATCACACAATCAAAACACAGCGATTTGAAACCACTGCAGGAGGTTCCTGTCAAGAGTACTGATGCTTTAATACAAGATCCTAAAGGAGAACCTGTTTGGAGATGAATGTGGGATCTCTATCTTCTCGATGAGCAGATAAGTTGCAGTCATTAAGAAAATGAAGGGCTTCATCCAGCTCACTCAAAAGCCTCTCAGAGAGCCCACTCTGATCCTGATATAGCCCACAGTCCAGCACAACCTCACGAGGCTGGGACGCATACCTGGAAGTAAACACACATGCAAAAAACATCTATAATAAATTATACTTAAAGGACAGATAAATATTTTTTCAGTCCTATTGTGTAAATTAGATACAGACAGTTTTACAAGGAAACAATTCTGTTCTACAAGCTGCAATAAAAGCAAAAATACACCAGAGCTGAAATCAGAAACATACCTATCAAGCACCACAAGATCAGTGGCAGTTTCTGCATTGCTCTGCAGAATCTTCTCCAGGTTCTGAATCTTCTCCTCCAGATCACAAGGGTCACATTTGCCATTTAAAATGGAAGCAGTCAGACCCAAAATGCGAGGACAACCTGGGCAACCCTCACAAATCTGTAAAGAAGACTGACACTGTTTAAATAAGCATTATAACGAGGTATTATCATCACCAACTACCTACAATATGATATCTATCTTGAATTACAGTTGGACAAAGCACTCAAAATTGACAGCAGTGATCAATCATGAAAACAACTGTGTAATCTGATTAATATTTCCAGCTAATATGTTTTTATATAATCAGAAAAAACATCCATCTCAATGTATTCTTGTTTCAGCACAGCTCTAATTATAACTAACGTGTTATATGAACATATTTTTCATAGTGATGGCCTGAATTTTGTAAATTGGCAGGTGTTATGACTAAAATATTATTCTCCTAAGAAAAGATCACACATTCAGAGAAGTCAAAGCATCTGCATTCAGCCAGTCTTCAAAGTTAAAGGGATAATTCGCCCAAAAATGCAATTCTGTCATCGTTTACTCACCTGCATGTTATTCCAAACCTGTATGACTTTCTTTTTTCTGCACAAAATAAGATATTTTGAATAATGTTGGGAACCAAACAACATTGAAGCCAACTGACATTCATTGCATGGATACATTTCTCAAAAATATCTTCTTTTATGTTCCACAGTAAAAAAATAAGTAATTCAGATTTGGAGCGAGGGTTGAGTAAATGATGACAGAATTTTTTTATTTTTGGGTGGACTATCTGTCTTAATCTGAATTTAGGATGTGCCACTAAATGTTAGCCTTCAAAATAAAAACATCCAGTTTTAATGGGTTTCAGATACGCAACAATATCTTATCAGAGTGCCTATGTTCAATCTCCAGGACTAAATACATGCCCATTAATACTATAGTAATGGATCGACCTCTTTTTAGCATCTCTGTGGAGTGACAGTTAGATGAGACCTCTATCATCCCTCTCTTTACACTGACAGATGTGATTTCATAGCACCTGTTCAATGCTGTAAAAGACTGCAATTTCACCTTCATTATTTCCCCATAAGGATGGTCTGTGATTGCAAGGTGGCATTCATCAAAAATCAGCAGGTTGATTTTTGATAGTGGCAAGACTCCATTTTTTAACACATGCAGGAAGATGTGGCACGTCATGACCAGCACCTGAAAGAACAGACATTATGGAAAAAAGAGGGATGAGGACGGCAGAACATCACAGAAGAGAGACTGCACGATGACACCTCATCAGACCGTTCAACAATTATATGAATAAATTCATAGGCTTGTTAAATGGAACATGTATAATCATACCTGATTCTCTATCATCTCTCTGTTCCACATCTCCTCGGGCCAGGATGTCATGTCTTCTGACATGTAATCGCCTACCTGGAGATCCGAGTGGGTTCTTACAGTAGATGCTTGCTGAACCACAGATGATGCTGCAATCAGGAAAAATGAACAAACCAGAATTAAAATGAATAAACATACAGAAAGAGTTTGATCATGTTTTAATGTTTTTACGTGACATGGCAGGCTACACAATTCCTCACCTGCATTCACCAGGAAAACTGTTCTCTTCCCATACTCTCCACGGATTTGGTGGGAGAGTTCTTTGATTAGGAGTACTGCGATAAAGGTCTTCCCTGAGCCAGTATTTAAGCAGACTATAGTATTGTGTTCAAGAGCTGCTTCAAGAAGTTCAACCTGGTGGGAAAATACAATTAGGTGAAACTATTCAGAATCAGCAAAAAGTTTTAAAAGTCTGGGGTCAGAAAGATTTTCAGCAAAGGTGCATTAATTTGATCAAAAGTGACAGTAAAGAATGTTTTTATGTTATCTTTCAATTAAATGCTGTTCTTTGAAACGTTCTATGCATCAAAGATTCTTGAAATAAAATGTAGAATGGATTCCACAAAAACATTACGCACAACTGCTTTTAGCATTGAAAATAAAAAAATGTTTCTTGTGATTTCACTGCCAAATCTGCATATTAGAATGATTTATGAAAGATCATGTGACACTGAAGAACGAAATAATGGGTACTGAGAAAAATCAGCATTGCCAGGACAGGAATAAATTACATTTTGAAATATATTAACACATAAAACTGTAATAAAATCGTAATCATATTTCACAGTCTTACAGTTTTTATTGTATTTTTGATCAAATAAATGCAGGGGGGTTAGTTAGTTTGAGTTTCCCTCTTTTCTTCACTTTCAAATGGCTTGTAAAAGTGCCGTGCACATTTTACTTTCACTTTCAAATTAGCAGCAATTCGGCGTTGATTCAATTCAAGCAACAACATCAAACTCATAGAACTTTTATTAACAAAACGAATAAAAATACACCATATATGCCTAATAAAATATTAAATTACTTAGGCAACACAAAGTTTAAATAGGTATATAAAACTGAAAATCAGCAAACACTGGAACCAAATAAATAAGAAACAGAAAGTTTATTAGCAAAACGAATAAGAAAGCTTGGAGGCACGGCATATGTAAAATTAAATAAATAAAATACACAATTCGCGCATGGTTCGGCACGCTGCATTGAGCGTTTAGTTTTTAAAAGGGAGGCGGTAGGCAAATGACGTAACCGGTGCTGCGGCTTAACACCAGTATAACCGAAAAAAACGTCTATCGCAGCAAGCCTAATGCAAATTAATTGTGATTACTTTGATGCATGATTTTCATTTCATTTCCAATGAAACCAAAAAGGAGAGGTTTAGCAAAATGTCCAAGATGCTCTTTTCCATACAATGAAAGTAACAGAGTGAAGCACCATCAAAAACATTGTAAAAACAGTCCATATGACCTGTGCATAATATTTAAAGTCTCCTAAAACAATAGCTTTGTGTGAGGAACAGCAAAACATCTTCACACATCAGGTTACGTTGAAAGCTATGGCAGATGGGAAGATCTTCAGTGGTTAATGGTTAAAATTTACATCTCTTCCTCACATAAATCTATAGTATGTCACAATTATATTTAAAATATAGGCCATGAGCTGTACAGAGTATTTGTATGCTACTTAAAAGTACTCAGACTAGCTTAAATATCAGAGTCAACCCATTTCAAAGGACTTGCCTGATATTTCCTTGGTGTGTATATGTTGTCATGGATAGCTTCCTGTTGCCACGGGAGACCGAAGAAGGGCCCCATGGGTGAGGAGGCAGGGGTCACCAGCTGTAGGCCAGCCATGCTTAGAGACTGTTAAGCAGGGGACCTCCAGTCATCCAGTGTTTATCTCATTGCATCATGGCTTTCTAATGCTCACTGCAAGAGACAGCATGTAACATCAAATCAGTAGGATGTCACAAACAACAGCGCTAAAATCAACTATGCCACGTTGCTGTTACGTCTGGTTGTATTTTCAGAAACATGTTATTTAGTTCTTGTTAGAGGCCATCTGGATCAGGTGGGTTACTGATTATAGATGAGAGTGTTTACTCACAGCGTGTACGTTTCCCACTTTGCTGTTTGACCAGGCCGCACTTATTCTGGGCATCATTATCAGAGCTCTTAAAATCAGCTCATTCTTTTTCCCCTCGAGTCACTCTGCTAGGAAAAACAGACATACATATACAATCTGCACAACTGTAAAGCAAAAATATTTAGAATCTGCACAACTGTATAGCAAAAAAACAAATGTGTTTTGCATATAGAGCAAACAGGTCTGAGATTATGTATTTATCAATTTATCAAATTATGGAATTAAGCACCTTATTGCAATGATACAACAAAAAATTAGCTGTAGGTAAATTTTACTTTTGGCATAAGGTTGGGTAAACATTTTATTCTGGTCAAAAACAAACTAACTGTTTGACATGTAAAATGACCAATAGTTTTGTTTTTACAAGCTATGTAAGGCTAAATTGACATTCAGATCTTGATTAAACAAACTTTGCCATAATGATTACTTCTTCCTCAAAAGCACTATTCATTCTAATCATAATTTATATATGTGGAAGCAAAGTTCACCTAAAACTTAATTTAAACATTCAAACATTTAACAACGGTAATTTTTTATTTTTTTTAACACTACCATTCAAGTTTGGGGACAGTAAGATTTTAAGACAATGCTGCATTTATCTGAAAAATAAAGCAGCATTACTTTAGTCTTCAGTATAACAGGATTTTTCAGAAATCATTCTAATATGCTGATTTGGTGCTGAAGAAATATTTTTCAATGTTGAAAACAGTTGATCTGCTTAATATTTTTGTAGAAAGCATGACACGTTTATTTTGAGAATTCTTTAGTGAGCAGAAATTTTAAAGTAACAGCATTTATTTAAAATACAAATCTTTGTAACATTATAAATGTCATCCTGAGTGAAAGTACTATTATTTTATTTATATATTTCCAAAAAAAACGTACTGATCCCAAATGTTTGAACTGGTGTATCTTCTAATAAACAATGTTACAACAGTAAATGAAATACCTCAGTAATTTCTTACTTGCACTATAGAGTGCACATGTATATTTTCCATTGCTGTGACCAAATAACAGTGGACATTTAAACATACTGATTATGAAACAATTAGTATTTTACTATTTCAGCAGAGAGAAATGATCACAGTACCTTAATGCTGCAGATGGGGGAGGGGGCCTGAGACAATATTCTTTTAATACTCTGAAAATGGAGAGAGAAGAAACATAGCTTGTGATAATGGACATATCTCTGGCAAGGAGAGGACAGCTGAATTTGGATGACAACTGGCTTGTCAACACATTTTTGCCACTCAGGATCGAGCCCACACTCTCCTCCTGATCACCGCTGTTCGACACAGCTGCAACAAATCACCACAAGTCATTTCAGCTCAAGTAACACAAGGCTTCATTTTCAGTGAGCAAACACATTTGCTCTTGGTTAAAAATCTGCTCTCAGACTCCATGTTCGGGTTCATGAATCTCTAATGCAACCACATAGGTTATTTACTTTCAGATTTGGAAAACGCTGACACACATCTGTTTCGGTGAACGAAACATTCGATGTTAAATGCTTGACTGCAAAACAGCTGGCCAGGTCACGGCTGCCCGATTCGACTACGCACAAGCAGATTTCCAGTATTGAAAATCAAGGCTCAAGACAACTTGTTACTGGTACTTTATCTTAATTAGTGAGATCAATACCATCACAAAAACAGTTACTACAGTAATTAAATCATCATACAAAAGCCATACAAAATAAAATCAATGAGATCTCCTTCAAATAGTGTATGAGCTTCCAGAATCTGTCATTTTAAGCTACAACAACTAATTGATCAATTAAATGAAAATCAACAATAAAAATGATCCACAAAAATGTCAATATCGCAGGGGTGTTTTTTTTCCCCTCTGAGCATGAACAGGCTATTAACTAGGTTGCAGTAGGAAAAACAATACACAAAAAAGTACACTATATTTTAAAGTAGGCCTGGGCGATAAAACGGTATCAATATTTATCGACGGTACACCTTCTTCAATAACGATATAAAAAATGTTCGATATATAGGCAGGTGCTATGAGTGAAGCAGACAGCACACACAAACACATGCTGAATTGAGTGCTGTGCCTGCCTGTGATGAGGAGATTGTGAATAAAAAATGAAAATGAGTCAAATTTAAAATAAACATTTGCATTTGAATGTTAGGAGTGCGTCAGGGAGCGTCATCAGTGGCACGCAAGATGTAGTGATGATGTAAGTGACGTTGTTGCATTTTAAAGGGGTCATATGATGCTTTTTTTAAAGATCATTATTTTGTGTATTTGGTGTAACAGAATATGTTGACATGCTTTAATGTTCAAAAAACACATTATTTTTCAAATACTGTACATTATAGTAGGTCCTCTATGCCCCGCCCCTCTCAAACGCTTCGTTTTCTACAAAGTCCCTCCTTCCCGACAAGCGCAGTCTGCTCTGATTGGCCAGCTGACCCAGTGCATTGTGATTGGCCGAACACCACAAGCACTCGTCGGAAATGTAACACCCCTTTCCATAATCGCAAGCTTCATCTTTCAAAATAAATGTAAAGACAGAGCCCAAAAGGGGAACAGAGTCGCGTGGCAGACACAGTGATGAAGCTGGTATGCACGGTTAAGACAGCTGACTCCACTGTGATGTGACCCCCCCCTCTCTCTCTCTCACACACACACACACACACACACACACACACGATGCGCAAAACTTTGCATTTTAAATTTGATTTATATGAGTTAATTTGTTTAATTTTTATTGTGTGTTTTTGGACTGTTAAAACAAAAAATATTTGTTGTTTGTCTCAATAAATTGGGTTAATTTAAAAATACAGTGGTTAAATTTAAACCTTTTGTTCTATTGCTCTTTGTTTTAAAAAAAGGTTATAAAAATTTCAATAATTATCAATACCGAACAATATGACACATTATATCGTTGATACATTTTTTAGCTATATCGCCCAGCTCTATTTTAAAGAATTAATATTCTAAAGATTTATATTTACATTTTTGCACATAAAACTTAAAACTTTTTCAGACCAGGAACCCTATGGCAGATAAAAGCTATGCTTCCATCCAAAGTTAAGAATTAAACTTACTTGCAAAATTGGATTATCGTATATAATATTTGTGAATAAAGCACCATTTTCATCCAGTGAGTTGAAGAGAACAAAATCGGCACTTCCTGATTAACTTGCGGTAAATATCATGAAGAAAAATTTTATTTGCTACAGTATAGTAGAAGGCACTGTATATAATTTTTTTGTATGCAATAAATTACGAGCTTCAGAGTGCGCAGACAAAACGCAGTCATGTTATCTTATTTTCGGAGCTTGCCGTTTAGGCATGCAGTTCTGGGAGTTAATTGTAACGAAGCACTTTGATGAGACTTTGCTCAAGCATTTTAGAATGACAAAACTAGCATTTCAGATGCTTGAAATGAGATCGGTCTGTTGGTTGGTCCAGTTTTATGCTGTTCCATCGCAAAGTCACATGTCTTTTTTGATGCGCATTAAGGAATTTATTCGGTGAAAGTGTTTCCATATCATAGTTTATGCGCATGTTTTTATGAAATTAAGAAATGTATCCTACTTAGTTGAGTGCATACGTTTTTTGTGCATTTTTAGAATTTATTCGCATCTTGGCATATACATCAACGTTTTCTTATGCGATATCCCAAAATGCGCATAAAAATAGGTGGATGGTAACATAGCTAAAGAGACAGGGAAGGGAATCCATTACTGTATAAAATTAAATGTTGCATTACATATATCTAACAATTAGATTAAAGATGGAAATAATCATCAGAATAATCTATAATAAAAATACTTCATAGTTGCTGGTGTAATTTATTTCTTTTTTAGATATCAGTAGTGGCCAATAAAAAATTAGCAGAGTTCTATAGAATTAAAATTAGTATAGTAGGCCTACATATACATATAAACAAACACACACATGTAGCAGTGTTTCCCCTAGGTTTACGGCTTTGGGGGGGCTTTTTTTTTTCTCTGGACTCCTTTTTAATGGTTAAATGACATTTTATTAATCAAAAAGCATGTCTAATTAATTAAAATAATGAAACTTAAACAATTTAACATCAATTTATTAAAAGTTTAACAAATATTACGTTTAGGGCCCTATGAAATGTTTTATTTGTCCAACCTTATGCTTTATTGTAACCAAATTCTGTTTTAGCATGTCTAATTTGAAAGCATAAAACAAGTTTCATTTATTCTTACGATAGCCTTATGATTTTTTTGCTCAGAAATTCTGTGTTGTGTATTTACATTTAGTTTTAAGGCATAAAACATTAATTTAATCTATCTTTTAAGTAATGAAAATTAAACAAATAAAATTTTTTGGAAAATAAAAGGTCATTTAATATTACAATTAAAGCATTGAAGAAATATTGAATGCTTATTCCTTAAAAATAAGGTTTTAATAGTTTTAGTAGTAGTAGCAGCCTGCCCTCAAGTTAAACCTAACTTTTATTTTGACGGGTTGCCGTGAATACCATTACATTTCTGTGTGTGTATGACATGATGATAGTTTTACTCAAATGAAATGGTCAAATGCTGATGAAGTGACTCTCAGAGCAGTTCTGGAGATGTTGTTCATGTATTATGTCCTCATGTAGTAAGACAGCAGAGGTTAATATCACCGGGAGCGTCACGAACGTTTCAGTACGAGTACTACACAAAACCGCGCGTCTGCGCCATTCATTAACACAGAGAGACACGCAGAATTCATATTTAAATATGAATCGGAGTGGGCTTACGTGTGTGTGTGTGTGTGTGTGTGTGTGTGTGAGCGCGCGCATCGGGCGGAACTCCGCTGTGCGTGATACAGAGAGCGCGACCATAACGTAGAGACTGAAATGACATGCCGTCGTGTAAATAAGATAAATAACATAAGGCTATTTAGTTTGCTTAATAAAAGAAGGTATAGACATGTTCTATAGGAAAGGTAACTTTAAATTACTTCTGTTGTGATCTGGCGCTATAGAGAAAATATAATTAAATAAAATTAACTTGACCTTCAAGGGGGGCGGACCTTCAAGGGGGGAAACACTGTATAGCTATATATATATATATATATATATATATATATATATATATAGAGCTGGGCAAAAAAATCAAATGCGATTTTCATGCGAATCTCGTCAGTAAAGCCGCTTCTGGTGATTAGTAGTAAATCTCCAGCACGTGCTTTCAGATGGAGCGGCATTTACTACACAGAGCCGTAGATCACTGACAAGCTACACAAAGGCCCAATCCCAATTCTATTTTATACCCCTTCCCCTTGTCTCTTGAAACAGAGTGTCAAGGGGTAGGGGTGAAAATATTCCCCTAAGAATTGGGACACCACTATATGTCACACGTCATCATACGTCGTCTAGCTCCTACAACACACAACCTATACTTCTGTGCAGAGAGCCTTTAATTACCGTTCTATAGTAATGTGCTGCTTACTGATACACACACACACACACACACACACACACACACACACATCGGAGATCGCTCAGCTCACACATTCAGGAGAAAATAAACTTGTCAACGCTGCCCCATGACTTTTATTAATAACAGTTTAAATACTGAATTGCTACATTATATTTTCCAGCAACTAGAGGAAAAACGCTGTTTTTTTAAGTAAACTCACTCTAAAAAGAGAAACGCACAGACGCTCATACACGCAACTTTCATCTCTCTCTCTCGATCCGAATTGGCAATATTTGAGAAAACGGTTTAGCGATTTCTAATTATTGGGGGGACTAGCCCCCCTCAATGTCTACGGTGGTTATCGCCCTGATCAGACATGAAAATATGTTGTGGCACTATCGTGCAGTCAGTAATGAT